TGGAGTCCTGGGATCGAGTCCCACATCAGGCTCCCTGCTCAGCAGGGAGTCTGCTTCTCCCTCTGACCCTCCTCCCTCTCATGCTCTCTGTCATTCTCTCTCTCGCAAATAAATAAAATCTTTAAAAAATAAAAAAAGAAAAGAAAAGAAATGAAGACCCAGAGAGTGGGAGTCCCCACCGGGTTCAGAAGTTGGACTTTCCTTCCTGCCAGGCTGCTGGATGGGGGAAAATTGTGTGGTATCCCGCAGGGGTGGAATGACCCACTGGGGTGACCTAGATAGTGCCTTGGGTCCCTCTCTGCCTCCCTCAGTCTGGAGCTGAAAGTCGGTCATGGGGTGCTTGGGGTGAGGGGGCTGCTGTCACTCACCCTTGGGCCCCCACACTTGCCAACGTGCAGAAAGCAGACCCGAGGGGTGAACAAGGGGTGAAGACTTTCCATCTCACCCTGCATAAGGCCAAGGGCCCCAGACTTTCTCCCTCTCCTCCCCAGCTTCGCCCTGGTGTCCCAGGCCCTATCTTTTGGCCTCCTCCCTCACACCCAATGAGCTGTGTGTTCTTCCTTGGAGGACAGTGGATTGTGGGATAGTGGCTAAAGGGGCTTTCAGGCAGCCAGGCAGGCAGCAGGGAAGAAGTGCTAGGCCCTCAGGGCTTTATTCCTTCTCCCCAGCCTGGTTCCTCAGAACATGGCTGGCCTTCCCCGTCAGGATTCCTGTCACTGATGGGAGGGACCCAAGAGAAAAGAATGCAGGTAGAGTCTGGTGAGGACTCGGAGGATCTGCGAAGGAGGAGGCTTGGAGATGCTTTGGGGTTTGAGGGGGATCCCCTTCTTCCACCTTCCCACTGGACTAATGCTGGGGCAAGTTCATTCAGAGCTAGGAGGTGGGTGGGAAACCAGCAGATCTCCTTCTCAGAGGGCAGAGGCCATAGGAAGTGGTGTGAATTGTTTCGAGCAACCAGAATTAGAGACTATGTAACGGCCCCTTGCGTACCCACCCTGAATCAAGACATGTGAGCACCTGGACGCCCGTGTTCGGCAGCACTAAAGCTGCTTTACATTCTTTATTTTCTTCAGGCTCGCAATCAGTTTGCAGTCTCCTGCATTTCCCCACTGCCACGGGGTCCCTGGAGTCTGGGTCCCCAATATCTCGGCTGAGTCACACGTCCCTACCAGGCAGTCGTTGATCCCCGCCCTCACCCCACCATCACCGCCCCGAAGAAGGTCTTCCCTCTCCTGTAGTCCACCATATCGGGGTGACTGATGTTGACGTACACCCTCTCGCCCCTCCGGAGCTGCACCAGGCCGCCGAAGCCCACACTCGTGTACCAGAGGGGCCCGTACTCGCGCGCCCGGGCCGGGTCCGAGACCGGGGTGACGGTCTCTGCGCCCTCGAGCAGCAGCTCGGGCGTCCCCGGCCCATAGGCGCCCCCCGCCCGGTACAGCCGGCTGCGCAGCGTGACCGAGCGGTCCGGCAGGCCCCCGCCGGCAGGGGGCGCCCGGCCCCGGTAGCCGACGTGACAGTAGAGGTAGTAGAGGCCGTCCTGCGGGAGCGCCAGACCCTCGGCGCCCGAGAACTGCGTCCCGCTCCTCAGAAACGCCTCTTCTTTCTTCGCCTCCCAGCCTAGCCCCTGCCCCTTCGTCCAAGCGCCTGCGGAGAAACGGGGGCCCGTCGGCGCTCGGGAAGCCGATCCTGGAGGAAGGATCCAGGCCCGGGACTTCCGAGAGGGTGAGTAGGAGGGAGAGTGGGGGCTCTTAACCCCCTGCAGGAGCCGAGCCGGGGGCGGGGCGAGGGCGCGCGGCGCCCCCTCTGCAGTGTTTTGGGGGAGGGGACCAAGGGCACCCGAGTGTGGGGTGCGGAGCGCGGTGGTGGGGCGGTGGGGAGATCCAGGCGGGGTTTTGACAGCTCCAGGAGGGAAGCAAGAAGATGGATTGCGGGAGGAGCGGAAGGTGGGCACTTTAGGGACCAGAGGTGGTGAAGCAGGTCGGAAACCGAGCCCTGCAATGACAGAGCAAAGGGACTCCAACTGTGGGCTGCAGCGCCGGTCCCTTGGACTACCTATGAGATCCTTACCTATGAGGTGGGCGGCTGGGAGCCTGGAGCTGAAATCTGTTTCTGCCTCCTCCTCTGGCAGCTCCTGTGACCCTGGAAGGGGGGAAGAGTCCACTATTGGGGGCCAGGGCGGCCTTCCATGCGTGGTCCCCCTGAGAGGACAGGGCGCCAGGGCGGGATTCCCGGGGATGCAGATGGATGGGAGCTGGGCATTCCCGAAGGGCTGGAGCAGGGGAGAGGGGAGATGGTCTGCTCTTACCCAGTCGTTGCTGGGCCTGGGCCTGTGCCACCCGGTCAGTCGTCCCTGTTACCTGGGTGGGTGGGGTCACAGTGCCCAGAGTTCAGTGTTGGCTGATGCCCACCCCACCCCTCCCAATGCAGACCCAAGCTCCAGGCCTGGGGTCTTTCCTACCAGTCCCACTCCCAACACACATCTCCCTGGGAGGGAGAGCAAGCGAGGCACATGTACTCAGAGACGGGGGCCTGAGTATGTCTTGGGAAGAGGCGAAGAGACAGCCAGACAACCAGGAAGGAGCTTGGAGCTTTCAGGACACAACAGCATCGCGGGAACAGTGGAAAGAGGACCAGCAAAGAGGCAGACAAGGCATCCCCACCGGGGACAGCCAAGCCAACTGAGCAGGATGAGACAAGAGAGCCCCAGGCGTAGCTAGAGGTGAGTGAGCATCGGCAGCACGCAACCCCTGCAGGGCTGGTTGCAGCTACTCACCAGTCCTCGTCCCTGCTCCTGGGGCACCAAGGCCAGCACAGCCAGGACAGTGATAGGCACAGCCAGCAGCAGGGTCACCAGGGAAGTGGCTCCCGCCACAGCCAGCAGGAGGCAGCCCTTCCCCTGGGGCCTCCTACCCCGGCCCTCTAGCCCCAGGGCCCCCATTGAGACTGAGCCAGGACCAGGGCAGGGGGGCTTTCATACCTCAGGGGTGGGGCCACCCCCTCCCCATAGACCCACACACCTGGCTGGGACTTTCCGCACACCCCTGCTCCCCTCACCCAGCTTCCTGTTTACCCAGAGCTGGGGTGGGGCAGCTGGATGCCCGGGTTCTCTGAACTGGGGAAGAAGTTGGGGTGAAGTGACAGGCTTGTAGGGTAGAGCTGGAGGGAGCCTTAGAGATCTGGTTCAGCAGGGAGGGAAACTGAGGCCCAGGGAGGGAAGGTAGCTTACAGAGAGTCAGGCAGCAGAACGGCGCGAGGAGAACACCGCACACCAGATTTCCAGAGCAGTCTGCATTCTTCTACACCCCAGTGGTGGGTGCTGGGAAGGAGGGCTGTGTCCACGTCCCTGAGGTCAAGGGCTGGAATAGGACAAGAACTGAGGTCTTGAGAGATGGATATCCAGGTCCTTGAGAAGAACTTAAGCCAGCACCAGACCAAATCTCCTCCTTCCATTCCCTCATTCACCCCTAACCCCCAGAGCTTGGTGAGAAGCAGAGTTAAGCCAGTCCACAGAAATAGCAGCTGAAAGGGGCCTCAGCTCCCCACTGACTATTGACTCACTGAGGAGGGATGGAAATGAGCATTACCTCCCTTGCTCCACAGAGGGTAGATGGGAGAGCAATAGGGCACTGCCCCACCCTCAAAGAGCTTGCTGTCTAGAGTGAGCTCCATCCATTTAGCAGGTGCTGACTACATGTTTAGGAATAAATGAAGGAAGGACAAATGAATGAATGAGGAAGCAAAACAGAGCAGCAACAAATGGTATGGTAGACAGGGCAGTGGGAGGAAAGACCAGGTCCACGGAAGTTGGAGGTGGTCTCAGATCATGTCCCCTTCTTGATGACATCTCTGTGATTAGGTATTAATAATAATAATATAGCTATTATACAAATAGCACTTAGCAAGTGCTTGCCACTGATCTACACACTTTATATATAATAATTCTTTTAATCCTGACAAAAACCCTAAGAAGAAACTGAGGCACAGAGAGGTTAAGGAACTTATAGAAGGCCACACAGGAGTGGCAGAGTCAGGATTTGAACCCAGGCGGTCTGGCTCCAGAGCCTTGACCACAAGACAGTTTAAAAAAAAAAAAACCCTGAGTACTGACTTCAGATTTGTGCATTTTAATGTATGTAAATCTTGCCTTCCTCAAAAAAGAAATGGGGAAACAAAAGCTGGACTCGAGTCACCGATGAGCATGGTAAGAGGTTTAGGGGTAAAATGTGTACTGATGTTTGCGATTTGAAAGGTATCCAAAAAATGAGATAGATTGATAGGTATGTGATAAAGCAAATACAGAAAACTGTCCATTTTAGAATGTAGGTGGTAGGGATATATTCACTGTAAAATTATTTCAATTTTGTTCTGTTTGAACATTTTAATAATAAAATGTGTGAAAAAAAACAAAACCGTAACCTGCTGTCCAACATGGGGAACATTGTAGCTGGGGGGAGAGAGAAGAAATGCCAGAAAGTTTCTGAATTTGAAGAAGGAAATGCAAATGCATATGGACCCAGGCACAGATACCCTCCTTACCTCCTGCCCCCACATGAGCTCCTCAGTCTTCACTCTCCGTAAGGACTGGGTGTGCAATCTTCCAGCACCCATCTCCCTCTCTATCTCAGTGCCACTAAGAGGCCTTCATCCAGGTCTCTGTCCAGAAGGTCTCGGATCACTGCCCTTATTTGTGTGCCCAACATCAGAATGCTGCCTCCTACAGGCAGTCCACCGAGATTGCCCCCATTCTTTCCCAACACCAACTTGTCACCAGCTTTCTGTCCTAGACTATCAACAGTACTCATATACTCCTGTACATCTATCTAGCCTAGCTGCCTCTGATTCTTTTCGTTAATCACTCAAGTGCCCTGCTAGATACAGCCCCAGAACGCCAGGCAAGTTTCCCCAAATCTACCAGAGCTCCTACTCTGATGTGGGAGCCTGGGTGTGTGTCCACACGTACACATTGGGATCATGAGCTCTCAGCGGATGCAGTGTGAGGGGTAATTGGGGAAAAATTAATCAGGGAAGGTACCTAGAGGAGGTATACACTCACTGACTACTTGCAGAATCAATAGGATGGCTGGAGCTGTGGGGGATTATAGGCTTAGTTACAGTCCCAGGAGTCTGAAAGAAAAGATGTTGTAACCCCAACCTTCAAAGCCTAACTTCCTCTCCTGATGAAGCTAGGGAGGCCTCCAGACTAGGGGAGACGTTAAAGCCAGAGGAGGGGCTAGAATGTTTGAAGCGGCAACACCTCTCCACCCAGGCAGCTCCGGCCAGTCTGGAGTCTGTCTACCCACAGGCCACAGGCTCTGGATAAGCTGGGAGAGAGCAGGAGCCCTGGTGGGGAAAAACGGGGCAGGGAGAGGCAGTCACGCCCTGCAGTGAAGTGAAGCTAAGATGACGGAAGAGAGTATGGCTTTGGGGTTCCCTGAGCCCTGGAGGCATCTGCTGTCCAGCCTCTGTCTCTGCTCCCAAAGAATTAAATACAGTCCACTTCTGCCTCCACTTCCCCTCACGGCGATCACAGGTCCTCCTCTCCACCTGTTTCTGCTCCCCAACCCCCCCCCCCCCACCCCAGCATTCCTCTTGAGCCCAGGAGGGTCCCGCTTTCCAGACCCTGGTCAGTGCAGCTGGCTCTGGCAACATGAAGTCGGCGACCCCCCGCTTTGCCCTCAAACAGGAACCAGTGGTTGCAGGGCAGGAAGTGTCTGAGGGGAAGTTATGGGGCCCAGACACTCCTCCATGCCCCACTTCAGCCCCAGCAGTATCTGTCCGTGGGAAGTGGCTCCCCACACCAGCCACATAGGGCCCTGCTCCCCAGAGCGGCCCTGGGCCGAGGGAGCAGCCCCAGCTGCCGGGTAGCTCCCTGTGTTTCACTGGTCCACACACACGCCACCGGAAACCCTGGTTTCTCCTCCTCCGTCAGCCCCTCACCAGAACCTAGAACGACCCAGTGCTGGAGAGGCCCCCATGAACCACCTAGTCAGCCTAAGGCAGAGGAAAAGGGGTGTGCTCTGGAGCTCTGGGGTTCCAGGCCAGCTCTGCCACTTCTAGGCTGAACCTTCTTGTAAGAGTCTCGACTCGAGTCTCAGATTCCTCACCGGGGTAGCGGGCACCGTAATACCCTATGTTGTGAGGATTAGCAATGACAAAGGGAAAGTGCCCAGGTCAGGGTTGACACATCAGTGGGGCTCCTCAGCCCTGGAACAGTTGTAACAGAGGGCCCCGCACTTTACAGATGAGGAACTTGAGGCACGTGACTTGGCCCAGGCCATTTAGCCTAGCAGAGCAGGGCTAGGTTTCCTGACCTCCAGGTCAGTCTTCAGTGCTTGACCTAATGGCAGCTTGTAAGGAATGGACAGAGGTAAGGTAACCCGCTGCACAAGGAGGGTGGAGGGTATGCAGGGAACAGAGGATAGAAAGCAGTGTATGTGCATTCTTGAGTAGATGGCCAGGGGACAACTGGTGCGGGTGGGCAAGGGACCTCATGGGGAGGCCCAGAGACAGCAGGGATGGCAGTGGGAAGCCTCTGAGGGGTGAGTGAGGTAACCTGTGAGAGATGGGCACCTCTGGTAGGAGGTGAGGTAACCCGATCTGGGGTGAAGAATCTGAGTATGCTTTTCTGCCTCTAAAACTGTTGGAGAGGGGCGCCTGGGTGGCTCAGTCGTTAAGCGTCTGCCTTCGGCTCAGGTCATGATCCCGGGGTCCTGGGATCGAGCCCCGCGTCGGGCTCCCTGCTCCGCGGGAAGAAGCCTCTCCCACTCCCCCTGCTTGTGTTTCCTCTCTCGCTGTGTCTCTCTCTGTCAAATAAAAAAATAAAATCTTTAAAAATAAATAAATAAATAAAAATAAAACTGTTGGAGAGCAGGGCTGAGATACCCACGGAGGCTGAGATAACCAGGAGGATGGGGTGAGCCAAAGGGAGAAATGGGTCCCTGATACCTACCCTTTTCCCTGCAGATCTATGCCCTTACCTACATGGCGGGAGCTTGGGGCTTGGGGGGGCTCCTGCTCCTGGCTGTGGTCATTGTGTCCGCCTGTCTGTGTCGGCTCCATCGGAAAGGTGAGCCCCATCGCCCACAGCAGTGCCCCGGGTCGCCCCCACCCACACCCTTTCCTACTGCTTCCCCAGAAGTGCCCGTCAGTTCCCACCCGCCCTGGGAGAGGAGGGTGGGAGAGAGGAGCCAAGAGTATCCAAAGAGGGAGGCTGGGGTTTTGGCCATGGGAACCACAGAGATGTCAGCAAGTGAGGAAACACCCTCTGGGGTGGGGGGAGTGGGGGAGGTGGCCTGCTGAGCTTCTTCTTTTCTTCCAGTGAGGAGGCTGGAGAGGAGCTGGGTGAGTCTGGGGGCCGGGAAGCGGGTGATGGGGGCAAGAGGAGGCTGAGGGCTGAGGCGGGTGGAGGCAAGAGAAGCAAGGGAAAGCGGGGGTGGCGGGGCGGGGAGGGCATGAGAGAGCTGGAGAGGCAGAGAAAAAAGAGGCAGAGAGAGAGAAGTAAGAATGAGAAGAGCAGAGAGAAATGGTGTAGAGAAAGGAAAAGGGAATAAGACAGAAAGGAGAGAGAGGAAGAAACTAGAGAGACAGAGAGAGAGAACGAGAGAGACACAGGGCAAGAGAAAGAGAGGGAGAATAAGAACAACAGAGACCCAGGGAGAAGAGGCAACGAGAGAAGAGAGCAGGGGCTCAGGCGGGCAGAGACAGAGGGTGGGGGCGCTGAGGAGGCAGTGAGGTACAGGGGGGTGGGCAGCAGCCTGTGGGAAGGACCGGGGGAAGGGGCTCCTCTGGCGACCTCCCAGCAGCACCTTCTCCCTGGCCCCAGGCCCAGCTCTCGGAGCAAGAGCTCCACTATGCATCTCTGCTGCCCATGCCCTGGAGGGAGAGGCCTGACCTCAGCCACAGGGAAGGTGCCAAGGAGGACCCCAGCACCGAATATGCCTGCATTGCCAAGAACTAAGCCAGCGGAGCTCCCCCAGACACCTCCCTGAACCCAGGTGGACCCTGTGGCCCACCCAGTAAAACCATGTCCTGCCACCTTCTGTGTCTCAGGCTTCTCAGTCCAACTCAACTCCGTCCCATTCAACAGGGCCACCATCAAAACTTAAGCGACTTATCTTCCCACCCGTTCTGGGGTCGAGTAGTGATTTCTCAGGGGAAGAAGGGTGTTGAGGGACCCAAGTTCCCCTGAAGGCCAGAAAGAGTACACGCGTGGGCCTGGCTGGAATGGGGAGTTGACATGTAGGACTCATCAGATCTGATACTCCCCATTTCTCAGGAGAATCCGCCTCAGCCTCCTGTACCCCAGAAAGGTGGAGGTGCTGAGCCCTGGGATGATGATGGGAGGGGGCTCCAGGCACGGTTACCGGGAAGCTCGCTCCTTGGACCTTTCCAGGCCAGGCTTGGTAGAAGAGAGAGTTAAGAGTCGGGGGACCCCAGAGAGGGGCATATTGTGGTACCTGGATAATGGAAAAGGAAACACATGAGACTCATAAGAAGGCATTAGTGGCGGGGCAGAGGAAGATTTATTGGGGTCTCTTGAAGACAGTTGGATGCCTGGGGTCTGGAATCACTCATCAGCGGCATCTAAGAAGTGGCGGCATGTTCCCGGGTGACGGTGGCCTGCAGGAGAGACCACAGGAGCTGCTCGGTGGGCGCCGCAGCCCTCCTCCGGCTGCTCTCTGTCTCCCCCTCCTCCAGTTCTCTTCCACCACTGCCCTAGCCCCCTTCCTTACATTTGCCTTGGTAATAGATGGTGCTGCCCATGGCCACACAGATAAAGCTGAAGGCATAGAATCCAGCCCGAAGGAGGAGGACTGTGCTGGCCCCTAGCCGAGGAGGTCCTGCATGGGGGTGGTAGAAGGAAGGGGCGAAGGGGGGACCTAAGGAAGAAGCAGGCACAGACCCAGGGAGGGACAGAGAGCAGGGGGCCTCAGGGAAAGACTCCCAACTTCCAGGAAGAGTGGGGTCTCCCATCTCACCTTTCTCTACCACCAGCAGAGTCCCATTCCCCATCCCAACACCTAGGCCCAGCACCTCCACCCTGCACACGTAGACTCCAGCGTCACAGTGTTGGGTGTCCCAGATGTGCAGCTCGGCCTGATGGTCATAGAGGAAACGGGAAGAGGGAAGAGGGGCCAGGCGGCCCCTGAACTCTGGGGTCCCATTCCTCACTTCCTTCTCTGGGGCCACCTTGTCCCGGTACCACGTGACAGAGCCAATGGCCAACTTCCCTTGGCTGGCATTGAAGGAGCAGGGCAAGAAGGCAGCGGTGCCCTCCTGGGTACGAATCTCCGGGGGCTGGAACACCCAGAGAGCACAGGATCCTGGCAGGCAAAGAGAAGACCCAGAAAAACACCTCTCTGGTTACAATATAGAGAAAGGACAAGAGAGTTTGCAGTAGAATATCCCAGCTGTGTCCCCACCCACAGAGGACCCAGAGGATCAAGCACTTTGCTACCCCATGAAACCCCTTGCTCTCCACCAGCCTCATTTCTTAACATTGTTTATTAAATAGTTTGTCAGGGCAACTGGGTGGCTCAGTTGTTAAGCGTCTGCCTTCAGCTCAGGTCATGATCCCAGGGTCCTAGGATCGAGCCCCGCATCGGGCTCCCTGCTCTGCGGGAAGCCTGCTTCTCCATCTCCCTCTCCCCCTGCTTATGTTCCCTCTCCCGCTGTCTCTCTCTGTCAAATAAAGAAATAAAATCTTAAAAAAAAAAAAAATAAATAGTTTTTCAAATCCTTTCCTATACCAACACTCATCCTCACCCCATCCCATCACTGTCCAGCTACATTCACTAGTAATGTCTTGCTGAAACTTAACCTGTCCCATTGAAATTGGAGCTCATTAATGAATGTGGCTGCCTAGCTAACTAATAATTAACTATATTATTCCAGGTATTATTTTCATACCAATGGCATACCGTATACAGTACACCACCCTTGCTACTTTGTTTTTTGTTAAAGAGCATTAACTAATAAAGTCTTCAGGTGAAGACATAGCAATAATTGATTGAAATCCCTCTTTAACTCAACCAAATGGATGAATTAAAGCAATTCGTAAAATCTCCAATTAGATTCTCTAGTTCGTGAAATTTACCTGCCATTCTTCTTATTTCAGTGGTTCTCAAGCTTGAGAGCATATCAGAATCACCTGGAGTGTCTGCTAAGACAGATTCCTGGGCCCGACCCCCCTCGGGTTTAGAGTTGGGCCTGAGAATTTGCCCCAGGTTCCCAGCTGATGCTAAAGCTGTGGGTCTGGAGTCCACGCTGCATTTAGTTCATGGATATGGCTGATAGTTAACGTCCCTCAGTTAATTAAAATCAGTTTCACTGAGAAAATTCCCTCAGAGTTAATTAGGTCTCCCAAACTCCTAATTACATCTAGACCCTAGATAATAAGCCTTGTTTAATAGGCTTATTAAGCTCATCAAATTAAAATTGACCCCTTCAAAAAAAAATTTCACCTCTTCCTCCCTTCAAGCTCTTTATACTGGTTCTTCAACTCTATCTTACTAGGATGGTGGCTGAGAAGAAAGGACCGCTGGGATGGAAGCTGGGGTGTGACCCTCCCAGTGGGCAACAAAAGAGGAGAAATGGAGGGAATTGTGAACTGGGGGTGTCCACATTGCTTCGGCTTCCAGAGGACCCCACCCACTCCCACTCTCCTTTCTGGGCCACTCCCCTCAGGCCTCAATGTCAGCCTCCCCCATCCTCACTCCTCCTGGCCCCACACCCCTCAGGGTTCTGGGAGAAAGCCCTCTCACCTGGATGGACCATGATAAAGATGAGCAATAGCATCCGGGTCATGTCAGAGGGTGTTCCAGTTGGCAAAGGGGATCTGAGAAGTAAGGTCTGGGTGGAGAAAGAACAATCTAGTGCTCGTGGCCAGGCCTTTGGTCAGCACCAGCTGGAGGTGGGCAGCGTCCTATGACACACAGGACTCACACATCACTTATCAAGGACCTCAATTGCCTGGGACCTCGGGCATCACATGCATGCCTCCTTGAGGAGAGAGGATGCTGCTGATGGCAGTATCTGGGTCGCTAGGAGGCGGGGACAACACATGGTCCAGTGGCCTAAGTGTTTGAGGGGGAAGGGAGGGCTGAGATGGCAGCTCACACTAGGGTGGGTGGGTGAGACCAGGATGTGGTTCCCCTACCTCCTGAGTTTCGAGAAGACCAACGCTTTACCCAGAATAAGCCTCCAGGAGCCCTCCTGGGCCCAGAGCTAACCTATTCCCCCTTCGTCTTGGCTCAGCAGTGCCTAGGCCCACCCCATCTGTTCCCTTCCCTCTAGGCTGGCTCACCCCTAGGACTGCTCTAGAAATTCTATAATAGAGGGGATTAGGAGAAGCAAGCTGATTGGTGGTGGCGGCGGGCGGTTGCTAGGGACTTTGGAAGCTTCATTTGCATAGCAATCAACCTGTTTTACTTAGATCGTGTAGACTTGGGTGGTTTGGCTGAGTGAAAGCAACGGATGGAGAGGTCTGGACTCATTCATATTCAGATCTCCATTAAAGGAATATACCTCTCGCTGAGGTCCGCTTTACTCATTGTGTTCTGCAAGTACTTGTCACCCACTGGTAAACCCACTCTGTTATTTTGTTCACTGTTTAGCTAGCATTTCTTGAGAAACTATCAAGTGCCCTTACATGAAAAATATTCTTAAAGACACAAAGGAAAGACTTTGAGTTCATAACTCCAAAGTTATACAGGGATTGGTACAAGAATATACCACACATTCTTGTATATGCATTACACACCTACATGAGACCGCACAGCCCATAGAAGAGGAGGATTACATGAACAATGCCAGGGAAGGCATGGGCCCAGCCCTCAGCGCACAGTTCTCTCTGGCTCCTTTGATGTTAATACATCTTTTTCCCTGAGGGTCCCTGTCTCTAGCTCTGTTTCACAATACATTGTGAAATTCCCATTTTTCCCTGCAGTGATCTAGAGTTTTGTTTTGGAGAAGCAGCAACGTCATGGTTAAGAATGCTGGCTTGAGGGCGCCTGGGTGGCTCAGAGGGTTAAGTGTCTGCCTTCGGCTCAGGTCATGATCCCAGGGTCCTGGGATCGAGTCCCTCATCGGGCTCCCTGCTCAGTGGGGAGCCTGCTTCTCCCTCTGCCTCTTTCTGTCTCTCATGAATAAGTAAATAAAATCTTAAAAAAAGAATGCTGGCTTGGAGTCAGCCTGGGTTCAAAGGCCAGCCCCTCCACAAACTAGTTATACGATCCTGAACAAATTATTTAACCTCTCCGAACCACCTACACAAGCACCCACGCCACGTAATCTGGGGAGGACTGACTCAACCGTTCTCCAGTAGTAGCCAGGGCTTCCTCCTCTGGGCCTCTAACCTGACAGTGGGGGACGCAGGTGCCCTTGGCAAGGCAAGGGCTGCCCCCTGCTGGCCACAGAGCATGGGGAGGCCTGAGATGCCCCTAGGTGGTTTTTCCCTAATGGGCCTTAATTCCAGCTTCGGCCCAGTCCCCTTACCTTGCCTCGTCCGATCAACAGCCCATGTCCACCCAGAGAGTCAATGTGGAGGAAATTGTCTCTTCTACTCAACGATGAGAAGTCCAGAGTTTGAGGAGGGAGTAGAGATCACCACCGGTGGAGTGGGGGTGTGAGGGTGGGATGGGCAACCGGCCCGAAGGGAAAACTCCATACTTTCACGGTACCCACATAGGGCACTGCTCCCTGTTCCAGGACAATGTGGCTTGGAAGTCAAGTCAGCCTTAGTTGGCGTCCTGGTTCCATTGCTCACACATCCGTGAGATGAGAACAGTATCTGTCAATTTCCAGACTTCATGGTATGGGATGCTCGGTAGGTTTGCCGCAGGCCCTCCCCAGTCCGGGGTAGGATGACCATTGTTACAGCTGTGCCCGAACTCAAGGATACCTTGCTCTCTCCATCTCTTGTCTCTACCCAAGATTTCCAATATCCAAAAATGTTGTGGATTCCCAAGACTGTACTTGGATTTCTTTTAAGTCCATCTAGAATAAATCCTGGCATACGTGTAGATTCAGGGACCCTTTCAATAGCTCTGAGACTCTCTAGGGAACTTTAACCTGCAGGATGGGAACTGCTGCACTAATCAGCCCAAGGATGGACTTTTTCAAAAGAAACTTTTTTAAAGATTTTATTTATTTATTTGACAGAGAGAGACACAGCGAGAGAGGGAACACAAGCAGGGGGAGTGGGAGAGGGAGAAGCAGGCTCCCCGCAGAGCAGGGAGCCCGATGTGGGACTCGATCCCAGGACCCTGGGATCATGACCTGAGCCGAAGGCAGTCGCTCAACCGACTGAGTCACCCAGGCGCCCCTCAAAAGAAACTTTTAAGAGGAAAGGCAACGAATGAAGAAGTTGTGGAGTGGATGTGCACCCATCTTGGGTCTAACTTCTTTACTTATTTATTTTGAAACCAACTTTTTTTTTTAAGATTTTATCTTTAATTAATCTTTACACCCACCATGGGGCTTGAACTCACAACCCTGAGATCAAGAGTCACATGCTCCACCACTGAGCCAGCCGGTTGCCCTTTTGTTTTACTTTTTTTTTTTTTTTAGATTTTATTTATTTATTTGAGAGAGAGAGACAGAGATAGTGAGAGAGAGCACAAGTGGGGAGGAGAGGGAGAAGCAGGCTCCCTGCAGAGCAAGGAGCCTGATGCGGCACTCGATCCCAGGACCCTGGGATCATGACCTGAGCCGAAGGCAGACACTTAACCGACTGAGCCACCCAGGCACCCTCTGGTCTAACTTCTTTAACACCCCACCATGGGCTGCCTTGAAGGTGGTCAGAGCTCAGAGCAGGAAAAGAGGTGAAGGCACAGAAGGAACTCTGGAATCCCAGCACCGTGATCCCATTTTACCGGGGATTTCCTCCTGTGCTGGGAGTGGTGAGATGCAGGTGACTCCTCCTCTGGCCAAGTCCTTATAAACATTTTCAATGAATTAGCAGCCCCCACGTTCCACTTTCAGTCTCTGACCACAGCTTCTCCTCTGAGGCTCATGCATTGGACCCCGCCACCTTCCGCCCCCTTGCCGTCAAGGTCTATTCTCCTTCACATTCACCAAGAGCAGGCACCTAACTCTCCAGCTTCCTCTCTATTTCACCCCCACTCCACCGGTGGTGATCTCTACTCCCTTCATGTCCACATAAATGATATTTTTAAACACTGAGATATAATTATATACAGCAAAATGCAGGTCTTTTTTAAAAAAAAATTTTAAGTGCACAGATCTTAAGTGTACAGTTCAGTGTTCTCTGGCAAACCTATACACCCCTGTAAACAACACTGCAAGTAAGATACAGATCATTTCCATTACTCTAGAAAATTCTCCCATGCCTCTTTTTGGTCAGTCCCTTTCCCTTCCCAGAAGCAACTACTGATTTATACCCCTATAAATGTATATCCCTATATTATACCTCTATTCTTGAACTTCGTATAAGTGTGATCACATAGTATACACTCTTGTATCCGGCTTCATTCATTCTGTATAAAGTCTGTGAGATTCATCTATTGTTGTGTGTATCAGTACTTTGTTCCTTTTTTTTTTTTTTTTTTGTGTGGTACTCCATAATATGGATGTACCACAGTTTATTTATCCACTCATCTGATGATGTACAAGCGGGTGGTATGAATATTCTTGTACACAACTTGTAAATGATTTTTCTTTTCTTTCTTTTTTTTTAGAGAGTGTGTGTGAGGTGGGGGGAGGGGCAGGGGGACAGAACCTTAAGCAGACTCCATGCTGAGCGCTGAGCCCAACTCGGGGCTCCATACCACAACCCTGAGAGCATGGCCTGAGCCGAAATCAAGAGCCTCCCAAGTGCCCAACAAATGATTTTTCAATATACTGATCTCACAGTTGCTTTCCCTGGTCTACTCCAACCATCACCTTGATTCTACATGTCACCATGGAAGTTGTTCCACTTTGGAATCTTACCTCCCCTTTCCCAGAGAAATAAAAGCAATTAGGCCTCAGTCCCTCCAGACTCCTGTACCCTATACACGTGCTTTAACATGATTCAGCTGTTGGCTGACTTTTGGGTTCTTTCTTTTTTTTTTTTTTTAAGATTTTATTTATCTATTCAGTAGAGACAGAGACAGAGAGAGAGGCAGAGGGAGAAGCAGGCTCCCAAGGAGCAGGGAGCCCGATGCGGGACTCGATTCCAGGATCCTGGGATCATGACCTGAGCCGAAGGCAGACACTTAACCATCTGAGCCACCCAGGCGCCGCTCTCTCACTTTCATTCAGCGAACTGCGAGCACCTACCGTGGGGCTTACCTAGGCAATCCTGTCTTAGCCAGTTTTAACTACTGCATATTCTCTGTCGAGACTCCAGTCTGTATCTCCATCTCAGTCTACACCTTCACCTGAGACCTCTTTCTTGAGGTCCAAGTCCAGAATATCTAGCTGTCCTCGGGACATCTCCTCCAGAGTGTTCCACAGGCAATTCAAAATCATCAGTGCCCACCCAAACTGCATCAGCCTCCTAGAGTCCCCATCTCAGTGCATGGAAGCAGAATCCACCCCATCACTTAAGGCAAAAGCCTGGGATTTATATTTTTCTGCCTTCCCTCAATTCCCCCATCCAAACAATCTCTAAGTCCTGTCCATTCTGCCTCTAAAATATCTCAAGTATCTTCCCACCTCTTAATTGTCACTGCTAGTTAAGGGCCTTGTCATCTCAGGATAAAACGAGTACAATAGCTTCTCTGACGGACAGTGTGGTTTCTTCTCAATATCCATTCTACACCTCCGTCTCCAAGTGTTGGGGCTCATCCATCCATTCAACAGCGGTTGTACTGAGTTCCTTCCACATGCCGGACATTCTGCCTTCCTTTTCCCTTGTATCTTTCCTCACCTCTCCCCTTCTCTCTCATATCTCCCACATCTCTGTCCACAACTCTTTCCTCTCACCATCTTTATTCATATCATTTGTTTCTTCCCTGTGTCTCTACCCACACCCCACATCTCTCCACACACCTTTACTCACTCCCCCCACACCCATCTGCTTGTTCACTAATTCATTCATTCAACAAATATTTGGTGAGCACCTTCCATGTGCTAGGCA